TAACTGGAAAATGGCACACGTTTAAAATCACAGGCTACTAAAGATGCCTTAAATTACACCCTGTTGTAATTAGGAGTCTTAGTGGTATATCCTAGCTGAGCTTGACCTCTGTGATAGTGCCAGTTGTTTAAGCGTGTAATCATTCTTTTACATCAGATCCTTTTTCCTGGAAATGTTGATATTTAAGGGGTTTTTTTACTTCATCAGATGAGGGGGCCTAAAATAAACATTCCTCTCTAGGCTGACACGTGACAGCACTAACAATGAATTGAAAATAAAATTGCACATAATATGCTGTTTAGAAGAATGTCCTCAAAGTTGCTGCAGAAAATACCAGCTGTACATAGCAGACTAATACTTAGCTATTCAAGTTCCCCCTTGGGGGTACATCTGCCAGATATAAATATTAATGAAAGGGAATTGTGACAGAAAGATTAAGATTCATTAATCATTATTATTATCCAGCATCAGGTGCTAACGGGGCAGCTGCTTGGAGCGAGGCGCCGTCACCTTGACCTAGCACACACATTCGTGAGGATGCCGTAAGAAAATGAGGTCTTCAAAGGAAGCAATAAGCACACTGCTGCAAGATGAGACATACTGAGGGAGCTAATCCAGAGCTCGATAGCTGTGGGTGTGCTTCGGGTCCCTGGGAGGATGTGGTGGGACGGGGAGGACCTGGGGCACGACCTCTGGTTTAAGCAAGCAGCACCACAGCTGTGGTTCCTGCATCGCCGGGGTGATTCCCTCTGCTTGCCCCGCTGCAGACGGGACCCGCGCTCACCCCACACGCTGACGGTAACTCCGCTGTCGAGGGAAAACAGTCAGAGAAACCAGGAAAAGCTGCAACTCCCATGCTCCGGCGGGATATAGAAGATTTCACAAACTTTCCCATCTGACACGTTGTTCAAACACTCTGCAGCTGTCAGACCCCTATTGTTCAGGTTTATATTGTGTTGGGGTTTTTGATGTCTCAGCCATTGCAGAGCTTTTGAGTGGGAAAGAGAGGCCACCGCATCCTCCATGCTGATCCCAGCCAGGTTGATGTCTATTTTCACAGCCCTCTCTTCAGCTTAACTCCTCGCTCTCCACCACACTCCCTTTGCATTGCATGTGTTGCCAGTTGTCTTCAGATCTTGCTCCAGCAAGAATTAGCTGCTTGCATTTGATAATTTTGTTCAGCACTAGCCATCACGGAGTGTGCTTGTTCCTTGTTGCAATTTCAACAGAAGCAGTTTTGTGCCACCTCTAGTCTTTGGCATTATTTTTCACTCAGCTAAGAGCAGGAGAAGGTGCCCCCGTTTCCCCACCAAGCGTGGGCAATCACCACGCAGGGTGCCGTGCCCTGTGCAATAGCTGATGCACAGGAACACCATGCACAGGAGGTAGGTGCTCAGAAAAGCAGAGCTGGAAGCACAGTCCTTCCCCTACACAATGTATATATTTCAAACATTAGCTTGTAGGAGTCCCACAGCTCAGGTGATCCTGTTGTAAGGCTGTCCTGGGAAATTTATTTCTCCATTTATTTTTACTAGTAGCAGAAACTAGCCCAAGGACACCAACCTTGATAAAAGACTGCTAACTAAAATATATAGCACATACATTTTTCCACATGTGAGACGCTAATGATTGCTGCAGAAGTCAAAATAAAGACTACATAGCCTGGGTCAGGTGCTAGCATTTCTGCCTTACCCACACCTGCAAATCCCATCAGCTTGCGTCCCTGGGAAAGGCGAAAGTGCCCCCAGCAGCCTGGGGGCCTGGAGGGAGTTAGTGAGAACTGGTAGCACTGGGGTAGGGACAGACAGATTTATGGGGAATTAAGTAGGTCAGTAGGCTATTTGCTTTCTCGTCATCCGTTCCCACCTGTTTTGTTAGCCAAGAAAGGATTACAGACAGTTCCAGCCTGCGCCTTCATCCCCCAGCCCAGTTTTTCTCTTCATGTTTTGGGAAACAGTTGCTCTGGGCAGATAGCTCATTTGGGTTCCACACACATTAATTCTGGTGAGAATTAAGATATAGATCTAGATAGATCTAGATAAATGTCTGTGTGTCAGGATAGACTAAGCAAATCTGCTTGAGGGTCCAGGTGTGATGGGGAGCACAGCTGCTTCCCCTCCTGATGCACCAGCTTCCCCGTAGATCACTGGAGCTTGCATCCCTCACTTCTTCATTCCTTTGTATTTCTGTTTATTCCTGCTGGTGATCAGCATTCAGCACAGCCCTCAGGCACTACCTTCACTTTATTCTGCAAAAGACGGTTCCTAGTGTCTGATGCAGTTCCTAAATTGCATTGGCAAAACAAAGAAGCCTCTCTTAGCAGGAGGGCTGCGTGGTTCCCCCGTCAGTGGGCTTACCCGGTGATGCACGTGTGCTGGTATCTGTATGGGAGGAATATATTTAAGGTATTCTCTAATCACCCACCGCAAATACAGTTCTGAATGGAAGCCAAGTTGATTCATATTAATGAATTGCTCCTGTTCCTCCCCATCACACCATTGGGAAGGGACCTGTTTAAGCGTCTTTGTTTAATGCTGGGTTCTGCTGCTCTGTGATAAGTGCTACTTGCCAAAAGCTTCGTTTCTAACAGAGTTCAAAGTAAAGTTATTAAGTCATATACGTCGAAGGAATCAGGATTTGGGAGAGGAAGGAGAGCTTAGCTAATCATGGTCCTTGGGGCAGGATACACACCAATAGAGCTAAATGTTGGTGAGCTAATTTTCTCCCTAAAACAGCATTTAGTGGGGTTCAGTTTTATAGAGAAGGAGCATTTCTGCTGCTCTGCACCAGCTGGGCAGGCTGGAGGCCCAAGCCCAACCTTGCTGAGGCTGAGGGAGTTTTCATACTGATTTTAGGATGTTTTGGGTCTAGATCATAAGGCCTGGAGTACTCTACTAAATTCTGTGTCGTGCAATGTCTGTGAACCTTTTTATCAAAAATGAAGTAGTTTTTTTCCCTCAGAGTGCACAGATTAATAAATATTGTGACTACGTCCTTTTCCACCATATCTTAATGAAATCTAACATCAGCTCTTGAGCAAGAAGAACCTGCGTTATAAGAAATCCCCAAAGACAGTGATGGTCATCACCTCTTTTGTTATTAAAGGGCATATTTTGCTGTAGTTTGTTTGGTTTGTTTTATGAATTAAGTTTGTGACTTCATGAGATTAAAAGCTTAAATGGGATCAATGAAGACTACACAGCATGCATCAAAGTAATTGCGGATTATTTTTCAAACTCCAGAGGACCACTAGTACTGAAGTACTAAGAGTTTAGAGCAATAATTATGAATTTTTCAAATAGAGAGATGAAAGGAAATACATTATCAGTACAAAAGGCTGAACTGAACTGTTTGTTATTTCCAGCTGACTAGGATCTCTCTTGGGGTAAAGGTACATGATGTCCTCACTAAGGTAGCAATCTGATCCACAGAGCAGTTTGAGAAAAATCATTTGCTGTCTGTGTACAGGATGTTAACTATGTGGTAAAGTAATATAGCAGTGTAAGCCTTCAAGAGAAACACAGAAGCTTCCAACTCTGCCCTCCGTCCTTTCTTTTTTACCTCTGAGCAATACTGTATGGAAAATATATTAAAATAATGAGTTTTGTTCAGATCCAATTTCCAGATGGGAACCCATGATATGATATTTACTGGGGTTTGATTAAAATTAGGCTTTTCTGATCCATAAGGGTAAAGTCTGTAATATTCTCATCTCCCAAATCCTTGATTTCTGATACTCATTGTTCCCATAAATTATCGAGTACAGCCAATAGAAAGCACCTAATTTCAATCTAGTAACAGTCAGGCAGATTTGTGGATTTGATACTATGTATTTTAAACTATTTTAATATACCAAATTTATGAAAATACTGAATTTAATATTCTCAGAACAAATCACACCTTCTTTTCAGACACAATTCTCTCCCTCCTCTGCCCAATCCCTGGAGTTTGGATAATCTCACTATATTTTCCATGGCTTTCTTTCAATGTACCCAAAACATAGGCCACCTTCATGCTTAAAACCAGAAGCGATTTCATACAGACTGTCTCAGTTCATCCAGAGTCTGGTTCATCTTGTTTATCAGTGAGAAGAGGCAGAACGATACTGAGGTGCCTGCGGGGATGCGGGGATGCAGAAGGCACACTGGCTGCTTGTGTTCCCATTTCCAGTGAGGGCAGCTGTGAAGGGATGTTGGGATGAATTTTCACCAGGTTGGCTGATCTGAAGTTTCCCAAAACAGGGGGTGACGCATCACTTCACCCTGAGCAGTCCCTAGCAGAAAGACCAGGATCAAACCTCCCGTCCTTTGCTGACTGCCAGCATCCAGCCAAAAACCCTTCCCTGCCTGTCAAAAACACTTAAGTGCACTGTGGGCAATTATTATCCAAATCATTATGCACCTTACATGTCTGTAGCCTTCCTGGCCTCAGTGTCACACTTACCCACAGGGAAAACTGGTCTTACTTCGGAGATGTGAAATAGCTAAATATAATGCGTTTTATTTCTGTGATCACTGAGAGAAAATAGGTAACACTAGTACATTTATCTGCAGGTTATCAATACCAATGTGTAACCATTACAGAAGCACTCAAAGATTAACTAAATGGTGGGAGTAAACACACCTAATTTGAACAAAAAGTGTCTACACACAGAGCAGGAATGAGAAAGAGTCATGTTTCATCAACTTGTGTGGTATCTCAAAGAAGTGACATAGTTGGCAATAAGGAGTGTATGTTGCAAGATTTCACAATTGCAAAGAAAACACCAAACTGACCTTTTTTTTTTTGGTCATATCCTCATCCGGTGTAAATTGGTCAGGATTCACTGAAGTCAAGTTGTTCCTGGACACTGTTGCCCAGTTTTCCAGAGTCAAAACTGATGTTTTATAGAAACTCATAGTTGCACATATTAAAGTAATCAGGAGTATTTTCATTACTGACTGTGCAAGTGAAATGAAGACAGACATAATGGAAATGTGTTCACAAAATTTTACTGACAAAGAATTTAAATAAAAATGTTTTTTTTCTCCTGTGTATGATTGTTGTGCACAGTAACCAGGTTTAACAGATGCCATTAATACAATGGAAGGATTGTAGTGGAGGGGAGAGGAAATGTATTTCCCAATCCCTACTGGAAATTATGTTTCTGCTTAATTCCTCCAAGCAGCTTAGATTGAAATAATTTTTTTTTTTTTTCCCATTGGCCATTTCCCATAGTTGCACACCTCTCAAGTGAACGTCTAGCCTTTGGGATTAGCCACAGAGAAACACAGTTCTCTTCCTCACCCTCCTCCTCCAGGATGTTTTCTAGAGCAAGTTTATCTGGATTCCCCCAAATCAGTTATTTCCCTCTCTGTTGCTTTCTGCTGTCATTACACAGTCCAGGTTATCACTTGTTGTTTTGTTTGAGGGGAGGAGTTTTTGTACTCCATATTCATTCAGATTTTCATGGTGCTGTAGGTTTTAAGAGCTTCTCATTCATGCTTGCGTTGGTTTAATCTTTTGCTGACAAAGACAGAGCCCCTGCTTTGTTCTCAGCACACCAAGCAGCTGGCACGGAGATTCCAGATACCTGTTTCTCTCCCTTGTCCTCCCTCTTTGTTCTCTAGACCTTCTCTCCCAGTGACGAACCTGTCCCCTAGAGCTGGGCCAGTACAGAGCTCTCCCTCTGTCCTGTAGTGAGGGAAGTACCCACTGGAGGGAAGGGGCTGGTTCAGACCTGGCAGCTCACTGGGGAAGGAGGTCAGGGACAGGCACTGTTCAGAGGTGTTGTCTCTTAGGAGCTGGTGGGCTGGTGGCTCTTCGTTGGTCACAGAAGAAAGTGCCCTCTTGTCTGACTTCAAACTTGGTGGGGTGGTCTGAAAAAAACATGTACAAGACCAAGAGCTAAGGTCTCAAATGCATGAAAAAAAGCATGGATGGATGACACATTGGAAACCATGCAGACTTTGGGGACACAGCAGTCCCCCACAGCAATGAGACAGATCTCATCCAGAGCCAACAGTGTCCCCACACAGCAGAAGTCCAGTGTCCACAGGGGTTGTTTCAAGGGACAGAGGCCTTGGCAGGGATGCCTTGGGTATCTCCTCCTTGCAGATAGCTCTACTCCTGCATTATGTTTTCAGAGTACAATTTTGTTCTAATTGGCCTAATTTTGTTCTAAAGGGCCTAATTTTGGGCAACAGTATGTTGTGAGGTGTACCCACCTCTCTTCTCTTCCTCCCTTCCTACCCCTTTCAGAAACATTAATGGTGAGTTTCACCTCACCTAATTTGCAGATATTTAACCCAACTTAGCCACGTAGGCTTTGAAACAATCTGTGCAGGATGACAAAGCACTTCTAAGAGGCAGCTCATGTGATAGAGGGAGCCGAGGTGCCTCGCTCAGACAGGGGGGACAACCCACTGCACATTTTGTTCATTTTTTTTTTTCCCCAGTTATGTCTCTTCCTGCCTTGAAAGTACGTTCTTGTGCCGAGGCACACCCTGCACAAATTCTGCATTTCTTTGTGCAAGATCTCAGCTAAAGGGAAGTGCAATGGCAATACTTGGGCAAAACACATCTCCACGTCTGATTCAGCTGCCATGCTGGTGCCTTCGGACAGGCCAGCAGAGCCCCGGGGCAAGCAGGAGGCACCGAGGCTGGTGGGGTTGGTGCTTCCACCTGTGGTGCATGGAGCATTCCCTGACTGTGCAACCTTGGCGAGCAATTTAGCAATTGCCCATGCAACTTACTGTCTCAACATCTCCTTCGCTTTCATCTTTCCCATCATTACCAGTTTTTTTCCCCTCTGCATTTAATCCATATGTGAGTGGCTGGCCAAGAAGCTCTTCATACGTTCTGTAATATGGAAAATGTCCCATGGAGGTGGCTGAATAACTCACTTTCTCATCCTGCTTAGTGTTAACCCTGTCTTCATTGAAGCTTTCTTCTGTTTCTGTGCTGATGTATGGTGCAGTGAGGGAAGATGGGCTGATAAAGATGTCAGTTGTTCTGTAGTAGGGCAGGTACACAACAGGGAACACCGGGTAATCTGGGAATGACTGGTCATTGCAAAGCAGGAGTTTGGTATTCAAGTCTTCAGGACGGTCCCTGGTCAGCAGGATGTGCTCCAAGACTCCTGGGCTGGATGGTCGGGGAACGGTTTCATCCTTTGGCTCCAGATCTCCTGAAAGCTCCTGAAAAGAAATTTGTATTTGATCAAATATGATAAAATTATACTCTCAATGGGCAAGAGCCACTAGCAAAATCAGTCACCAATGTTAATCAGTTCTGCTATCCACCCAGGGCATGGCACATCGGCCGCTGTGAAGAGATAATGAGGCCAATTAGAAGACTGAGGATTGTAAGGATTTGACATTATCTTTCAGCTCTTTCTTTCTGAGTCTTGAAATGGTTTCTCATGCAGGGTTTTCAATTAAATTTAAATATCAGATTAGTTCCTATACTCTCAAGCAGTCTTTAGTAGTTCACACAGGAAAAATATGAAATTTCATGTTTTCCCTGTGTTGATGAATAGCAGCAGTAACCAGGCTTCAGAAATAGAAACCCAGTCTCCATGCCCTGCTACCTGATTTTTTACAAACTACTGTTTGTCCCCATATGAAACCATGATCCGCAGAGCCAGTGTTTGTACCTGATTTGAGGATAAACTTGCATCTGATTTCATGAGCTGCCTTGACAGATTCCAAGTCAAAGAAACGGGACTCCCATTGGCCTGAGCTATTTAGGGTGATTTATGGCCTTCTGAAAATCTTGGTAGATCAGCAGTGCTTGTGAGCATTCTGGAAATGGAAGAACATTAAAATTTGGGTAGAGCCTGAAAAAAAAACAACTCTGTACAACCTTCTTCACCAGATGTTTTCTTTTTGGATTTTCCATACAACCAAAACTGGCATATGCAATTCAGGTCTTCAAGAGTTTGGACTTGATGTTTCAATTCAACTCCAGTTTTATCTCTGTCTTTATTGGAAAAGCTAATTTATCAGATCACCACTATTATAAGACACTATTTCATTGAAAAAAAAGGTCATCTTGCTGTTACAGATAAACACACACAAGTATTTTGCTGCTAGAAAAATTGTCTGCCCCTTGTCTGTTTGCTATGCTGGTGCTGTTAATTCCCCACCCTTATGGACTTTCTTCTGCTTTTTTCTTATCAAAAAGGTTTCTGCGCCTTAAGGATGTCTTACAAATATCTCATTCAAGTGAGTCTGAATGTACACATTGAGTAACATAACTGCCGCCCATCTGTTCACCAGGGTGAGAAAAAGGATATTTTTATAGTTACCAAGTACCCGAGAAGCATCCAAGAAGGGAGAGCCAGTGGGGAGAGCATCATCCCTGGGCTGCCAAGTCGTGTCTGCCTTGGTGACCGGGTTCCAGGGCAGCATCACAAACGGGAGGACACCCCTCCCACCCCCCCAGCTCCCTGCTGGCAGAGCCACCCACTTCCTCCTCCCCAGTACAGGCTTGTGAACATGCTGGGTTTACTGGGAGCTCACAGACAGCCTGGCTTCCTTCTAAAGAAGTATCAGTTGCTTTTTTCCCTGTCAGTGAGGTAATGAGCTACTGAGGTAACCCCTAATAAACCAGCCATCCTCTTCCTCCACCCTGTTCTTCACTGGCGCAGGAGAGCAACCAAAGTGACACATTCAAAAGGATAAATTTCAACAGAAATAGCATCAGATTAATGCAATTTTTTTTCATTTTCATACTAATGGCTGCAAAGACAGTGATAAGTAATTTCATTTTACCGTGAAATAATAATGCATCTCTCTTTGGTTTATAAACATAGAAGAAAGCACGGGAATGCCTCAATTGTGCCTTTTAAGGCATTTTCAAAGCTATGTATTTCCATACTTTAAAAAAATAATATATCCTGTAAATATATAGAAACAGACAAAGACTTCCTGATATTTTACATTTAAATAGTTATCATCTGTTTTCCTCCATTCAGGCTGAAAATACTTTTTGCTAAATGACAGATGATTTTTCTTATTAATGCATTGACATATATATATTTCAGTTTTTAACTGGCAAGTGTAAATAGAGTGGAGCAGCTCCTCTGACAATATATTAAAAATGCTGATAAATACCTGGGTAACAGAGAAATTCAGAATAAGATTCAATCCTGCACAGTATTTGATCTATTTCTTGAAATTCCAGAGCTCTAAAGCACAGGAATGATTTTGAATGGACTATATTATTATTCATCTCATTTATTATCCTGGTTGCTGCCTGCAGTAAAAAGTGGTTTATTATAATGTGATTTCTCAGCTGCATCAGTATGATATACCGGCAGTTAATGAAGTGTTCAGGCACCCAAAACTTCAGCTTCATTGAAATTCATTGCCACAAAGATTCTGCCAGAACTAATTGCTGTCAAGGCTGCTTATGCATATGTCTTAGTTTCATTTCACAAAATGACAGAGCTAATGCTGGTACAAACCAACGTAAAAAACCCCTCCAGCCTGCAGCACACCCCAGCTCATTGCAGGAGGTTTCTCCAATGAGCTGACACAACTGTGGGGCCAAGGATATTCTGAGGATTCGGAAACTTTTTTTTTTTTTTAATTGAAATATGGCATTTATGTGCAAGGGAAATAATGATTGAGTATGGGAGGGTCTTAAGGAAAAGATGGGGAGGTATCTGCTGCCTCCAGTGCACCCCGAATTACTGGGCTTTGGGCAAGGCATGGGGTTTGGGCCAGAGAAGGACTCAAAGACTTGGGATTTTTGAAGACAGGAGAAGGCAGGGGTGAGCACCAGCCCATGGCTGCTGAGGTGTCCCAGCCCCCCTGCACCCCTGGGTGCTGAGCTCCCACCTCCAGCCCCCGCTGCCCTGGCAGCCTCCCCTGGCTGAGGCGCAGATCCTCCCTATGCCCCCAAATTCATACCCACACCCAGAAGACCATATCCTCTTTCCAAGCTGCAAATGCTCTTTTGCAAACCAAGTAAAGATGCTTTAGTGGCAAAAAGCAATAAACAGTTTCCCAGGAAGAAAGGGAGAGGAATCTGCAAGCGCAACCGAAGTTTGTGAACCCCAGGACTGCTTGAGCAGGTTTGCTGAACAACTCCATTTACATGATGTTTGCGCATTCCTGTTTCAAAAGTCAGCCTACGCGGAGCGCTCCAGATACGCCTTGCCAAAATACTTGAGATTGATCCAGTGGAATGATTTTGACTGTTGCAGGTGTGTTATGGACCCCCTGAGAGGTGCTGGGGGTGTCAGGGAGTTCACTAATTACAGTTCATTACGAGTTGTAGGGGAAGGATGCTCAGCACGGCGAGTTGGGGTGCTTTAGCAGGACACCTTTTCAGACACCTCCTGATGTGGACAAGGTGAACAGGGATGTGGGTTTTCTATTTCAGCCCTCTGGACTTACATTTTGTTGCTGAGATTGGGGGGAGCAAAGCTGCCCTTTCATGGAGCCTTTCAGCGTTTTCCATAATGATTTCCCCGCGACTTCAGACGTCTGTGACTTGGCCAGTTAGTTTCAACAAAGACAACTTTTATTATCTTACTGAAAAGCCTGGATGTGCTGGTATGTTGTGTTTGCTACATACGCATTTTCAAGCATTAGTCATGCCATAACATCTGCTTTTTATTGGTAATTACACTATCCCCATTTTAATAAGAGGTAATTCTTAAATTTCTCATAAAATATATATGACTCCAGGGAAAGAAGGTGAAAGGTTTTGCAAGCCTCTCACAGCCACAAGACCAGAATGAGTGGAAATAAATCCTTTCCGAGCAGAACTTGTCCAGCCACTCATGACAGCGCATCCAGGGATGCCTGTGTGACTCGCCATCCCTATTTCTCTTAATTGTTCATGCTCTGCAGAACAGACCTGCAAAGTCTGTGTGCCGCAGCCCTTCTGGGTGCTATTAACGTGCTCAAAAATGGGGACCTGGCCCTAAAATTGCACGTACATGGATACCCCCTCCTGGGTGTAACTTGACTGGAATTAGCATGAAGGGGGTTCTGTGAGATGAAGTCCGAACTGGGGAACAGTAAAAGTTTGTGGGCCGTTTCCAAGTGGTTTAGATGCTTTAGAATTGCAAATAGGTGTCCAGATTAATGGACCGTAACTTGTTTGTGTTCATATTTATTGTAGACTCGATATAAACTGAGTTGAAATAATGTGCCTGAAAAATGAGTCACATCTGAAGTGGAAGACCAATATCCAGATAAAGCATCAAGAAAAAAAATCTTCTGGGGCTCCATTAAAAGCTTTCAGTTTCTTATTTCCCACTGTCTTTCTGTTGGTAAACTGGGCTCTGTGATTCCACAGTGTGTTTCCAGGGATTTTTCTAGCAATTCTGGACAAGGCATTGACAAATGACACTTTTGGAAGGTCATTCCGAAATCTTTGAAAACCAGGGAGCTTTTTCAGTGGCTCCTGCCATTCACTGAATGCCAGCAGCCAAGCCCATATGGAGCATTGTGTGCTGAGCTCATTGTTGATGCAAATGCACACAACTAGTTTTGATTAAGAACAAAATGCAGAATTGACTCAGACTGCCTTTTTTTTTGTTTTTTGAAAAGCTTCAAGCCTCTCATTATCATCAGGGTTTCTTTCAGGGCAGGAAATTGGAATTTCCATAAAATAATGCTGAAAGGCACAGGGTGAAGTCAAAGAACATTTACGTTCCTAACGAATGGAAGGATAAACACGCAAAACAAATTTGGGGACACTCAACTAAACATTTGGGGGCATGTTATGGCATGTAGATTGTTTAAATTATTCAATATATATTAAGCAGCCAGATACACAAATGGCAAAAGGACAAAGCAGTGGGTTTAACAGAGGCCTTTTCCTTTTGCACAGTAACTTACAGCTATCCAATATGTGATTATTGTATTCAGCAGCCAAGGAGGATTTGTGTTGCAGCGTGCCTGGGTTGCACTATTTTCACGTGAACAAGGAGCTCGTTCCAGTGCAGAAGAAGATCCCACGGCAACATTCGTAGCCCTGGGGTCACTAAGGTGGGATCAGAAAGACTTCGCATAACCTCCGGGCTGCTCTGCTATGTTTGGAAGCGCTGGTGCTTGGAGGGACTCACCGGCTGCTGAGCACAGCCAGCATGCAGGTGGTCCGGCGCCGTTTCCCATCCTCGGGATGTCCTAGCTGATTGGAAATTCCTTGTGCCAAGGGAAACTGGAAAGTGGCGACCGCATTCTTCTCTCAACACCCAGATGAATCTGGTTAGAGTTCCTTCATTTTTATGGGGGTTTAATCATAGCCAGGGCTGGCAGTGTTCCTTACAAATAAGGGTGTTTGGTATTTCCCAGCACAAGACCAGGCTACTCTGGTCTTGATATGATATTGCAGAACAGTTTTGTGTTTTCTGGGAGGAGGGAAATAAACGGAAGGACATTTTTGCCAAGGACGATATTAAAAAGCTATATCACACAGACAAGCTCTCCAAAATTAGAAAACTGTGGAACTGAAGTTGCTTTGTCACTATTTCTTTCCATGCCTCATCGTGCAGAGTTTAATAACAAGACCAGCTCCTGTTTCCTTGCATTGTCTGCCTGCCTGCCCAGGTCTGCAACAAGCTGTGGCATGCAGAGTTCAGGTTCATTCAATGTGGCTGGAGAGAATGGGAACTGTTTTCAAGGCACTGTTTCACCATCCAGTGAAACCATCATCCTGAACAGCACACAGACTACTCCTTTCCTCCGGACTGATGACTCAGACAGCAGCTCCCAGCCTCTCGAGTTGCAGATTCCTGGAGTATCAGTGGTGGCCAGAGTGGGGATAATCCTAGAGACATAGGAATTTTCCTATGGGGAATATTGCCATCATTGTGGAGTTGGTGGCATGGTGTTGGGGAAGCCTTGAAGAGGAAAGAGAAAAGAACAGGACAGGGAAAAAATAAGACAGATTTTATAATGAATTGGAAAAAAAACTTATGGTGGATTGGAAGAATACTGGAAATTATATTTTCTTTTGGTTGTTCCACCTCAAATAAAATATCACTGTATTTGTGTAGGACAACCCCAAATGGGGGAAAACTATTTACAGTTGGCAACATCTAGGAACCAGAAGAAGCTTAGAGCAGAGAAGAAGGATGTGTCAGGGATTGGCACCATAATATTTTCTTAAAACAGCTCTGTCTCTACCTTCACGCTAGTAGGTGGCAGTGGAAAGAAAACTCATTGTGTGTTTAAAAAACAGGTCATTTTCAAGAAAGATCATGGAACCTTGAGTAGACGTGAGCAAACAGCCCTGGGGGAGTCATTTGTCTTTGCTGTCAAGAGGAAAATTAAGACTCGAGGGGACACAGAGGCTGGGTTTGATGGATGCTTGCAGCAGAAGGCAAGTGGGTCAATACTCCTGTTCGCCACGAAATCAGGTTATTTCCCTGGAGAAAAATGACTGTGTAAAGTGTACACCTGTGGGAAGGAGAGAGGGGATGGAAAGATAAATGGTGGAAAGTCCCTAAAATGATAAGTGTCTCTTTTTGTTTGGTTTTGACAGAAATAACCTCGCTCTAGGAAGGTGAACTGGATCACTGTGAGCTGGGGGCTGGTTATTGCTGCAGATCATGGTTAATGGCTACATCTGCATTAGTTTTAGCAAGCAGGTCCGAGAAGTGGGTGTCCATACTAAAAGTTTTCAGGGGGCAGATTGGTCCTGGTACTGAGTTTAGGTGAGCTGGAGCATATCATCTGGTCTTGTGTCCTCCAAAAGCCATCCAGTTCACCACTACACAGTGCAAAATGAATTGCCATAAATGGAAACGATTGGGGTATTTGCTTCAAAATTTCGGATCCTGATGACAATCCTTATGTAAATATAATGGATATGGTACCTACTGGTTAGGAGAACATTCCTGTGATGGACATGCAGCTCTGCAGCCCCCAAACCATACGGTATGATTCCCAACCCTGAAAAGGAAAAGGAAATGAGGTTTCTGTTACAGTCAAAATCCAAGAAAATATCACCCCTTGTGTATTCTTGCAGCTCTTCTAGATCAAATATCTTGTCATCCTCTTAAAATACACAGACACACAGAGAAGATATCTGCTGATTAATATCCTGGATCCATTTGAATGGACAGACACACCCCAGTCAGCTGTGCAATGTGTATGCATACCTGAAAACAAAACTTGACTCCTATAAGCAACCTATTTCGGTCAGTAAGGGTATAGTGAGTCATGCCACTAGTTTTACTGATTTTTTTGCTATTTTCTAATCAGATATATTTCAGCCATAAAACACAGAATCTGGCGATTAATATTTAGCAGATTTCGGCTGAGCAATATGTGATGTTAGGTTACTAATATGTATAAAAAAGGGGAAAATATTTTCTGATAATATTTCAATATTGATAACTGCCAACGCTGGAAAAAAGCTGCAGACAGGGTCCAAGTCTTGAGGTCATCTTAAATACTATTAACAGTTTTCAACTTTTGAATTAAATTAGAGTTTCTTCATCTACCTTTTCAGTTTAGACATTGAGGATGTACTGAAGTCTTTAAACTTATTTTTCCTGCAGTTCTCACATAATCACAGGCTGCAGGAGCGGGGAAAGCACCACGTATAATGAGGCATACTAGTAAGCTGCAGAGTTTGGCAAGCACAGTGATCTCTAAAGAGACTCAAGGTGTTTATAGACATTTCAGCCACGATAGATTTTAAGGACTAGGCTTTAAAATCCCAGCATCTGCAGCTGTTTCTGAGCAGGTAGGGAAGAAAAGGTATCAATGACACAGGGGTAGGACTGGAAAGAATTGCCTGAACCCTGAGAGCAGTCCCTGACCACAGCAGTCACCTCCATCAGTTAGACCCCAGGAAGGGACGAGCCCTTACTTGGCAGCAAATCTTCTTGTTATAGTGTCCTCTTAGAAACATGTTTAATTTCTGTTGCATCCTGTGACATCCAGCCCTGAAAGGGGAGGAGGAAAGGAAAATGCTCTTTGGGTTGCAAGCCCCACCACCAGCAGCTCCATGCACAGATGGCAGCAACTGGTGGTTCGTATGTGATGGTCCAGTTCACCATTCGATTTATTTTAGGGAATATATTCTTCATTTGGCATCTGTGACTGTTTCCTATCAGGGAATGATTCATGGGTGCAGCAGCTCTCTAGCTTTGCATTCACTCAAGCTTCAGCTCATTTGCCTCTGGCAAACTTTCGATGGCGCAGCTGGAAAGCAGGTCCACAACTGCCTTTGGTGCAGTCTGAGATACTTTCACGCTGTGGGTTTTTAACACGGGTGTCCAAGCTGTGCTCACTATTTACTGCAGCAGCAGCAGCTGCAGGCAGCTGGACTCCTCCAAAACCCGGGTGAAAAGAAGGTCTTGCCCTTTGGTACTGGTCCTTCTGTGACTCCCCTGGTCCCCAGCAACCAGAGGAGTGAAGGAGGCTGGTCCCGGCAGGACGGGCAAGAGGAGAAAAGTGGATGCAGTGTGTCCAGGAAGCACATTCCCGGGACATGACAGCACATCCCGGGGGCCCAGGGGCTGCACTTGTGCTGGGAAGGAAGGACTGGGCTTGCTTTCAGGCTCCCCTTCTTGCTCGGGAGCAAGACTACGAACACATTTTCTAAAGCCACTTCTGTGTTTTTCTCAAATTCCCTCCTCAATACTTCCACTATGACTCTGAAGGAAAAAACCAATCTGTAAACAAGCGATAACCTGCAAACTGCCAAGAGCTCATGGCACGGCCAGGATCCCCACCTGCCTCCCTCTGCATGTGTGTGCCCACACCTCCCTATGTCAGGGGAAAACCTCTATGGAGAAGGGATATTTTGTCCCATAACAGCTAGCACAGGGCCCCAGTGAGCCACAGCATTCCTGGACATTAGGCTAACACATTAAATAAAACTTCAGTAACATGCAAGGAGGACGTGCCCAGCTGCAGCCTCGTCACGGTCCCAGCCCACGCAAGATGGAAAGGAGATGATATGAATCAGCAGGACACCCGCCGGGCTGTGTCCTCACCTTCTCAGCACATTCATGGTCACTACTGCAAGGAGAGCAGGTACAGCAGGACCTGGATAACCAGCCTCATTTTAGCTGGATATGCTCTGTCCAGGGCTGTGCTCACTTTTGTTAAAAGAAGTGCCATAACGGAAGGAATCAAGTTCACCCACACAACACTCCGGTGAAATTTGAATTCACTTTCCATGATCTTCTTGCACGAGAAACCTGGTTTCAATATTCGCACTTATACAATCCAAGACTAAGAAAATCTGCCATTTCCTCTCTCTGCTGAGCTATACTGGGCAGTACAACCAAACTCTTGAAAATTATGAAACTGAGATTAATTATTTTTAAGTCACAAATACATCTGAATATATATTAAAAGCAAATGACAAATGTTGGAGGGAGCTAAGGCAGATCATGATCATGCCAGAAGTGAAATTTGGAAATATACCTTCTAAATCAATGCAGGCTGCCCTGTGATGATGGGCTTGCAAGCCTGCAGCAGAGGTCTGAGCCTGGAATTTGCTCCAAGGGAGCTGTGGTTGAATTTCTTTTTGTCACTGTTGTTTTGCAATGCCATAATAAGTGTTGGTGAATTTGCAAATCATAAAAGCATGGATCATGGGTGGGTGCTTCCATCCAAGGGCTAGAACAAACATTTTTGGTGTCAGCCCATTCCAGAGAGATTTTCAGTGCTATAAATTAAAGACTAAAGAAAAAAAAAAAATAATAATAAAAAAAACTTAAAAAGCTAAACAAACAACAGCTGTTTGGAGATGGGCCCTAAACCCAAAGTATATAAATGGCGTTCAGACAAATGCTTAGAGCCAGTGACAAGAAAATGCTCAGCACAAGAGCTGCAGGGTGATTTCTAGCTGTTCTGCTCACAGAATGCTGGTTTTTGCCCAGCCACAAGAAATCAGCTGTTCTCAGTGATGAGAGATGCTTCAATGACACAGCCACTGCCACATCGACCTCGTGGGCTGGACCCATCGGAGCCCCCAGTGACAGCGGGTGGCACTTTGGGGACACATCCCCAGTGGCTGTGCAGGGATGTGGCACAGCCTTGCACAGCAGATTGGGAAACATGTAAAACAGCTGAATTAGGAAGCTGTCCATAGAAAAATCAACACTGGGGATAACAAACCAGAGATAAGAGAATAAGTATCAAAAGAAAACATCAACGCTGCACAGCCACTGATAGCTTCCTGTTGGGGGAATGTAGACATACATACTCTCCAAGTTGAATTATGAGTATTTGTTTGGAAATGTATTTGCCCTTTGGACAGCCATATTTGTGTTTTGAGCTTCAGAAACATAAATTACAGTCATTTAAACCTCAAGCTTACATTTTACTTCAATGACGTAAGTGAGTTCCCAACTTTCAAAGGCCAGCTGTCCCTTACGGCAAGAGGTAGCAATTAAATAAAATTCTTTTATTGCATGGAGGTATTTTCAGTCCTTTAAGTTTATGTGCCCCAGGTGAAGCCATATAAACAAACTATAGCTGTCACAATTGTGTTAATAATGGAAACTGCATTTGGGAAGTTTTAGGGATAAAACCTATAACTTTATACTGCTAAGGTGTCAAACCTTTCCAATGTAAAACAGAAGTGCAGCTGTGTAAGGCATCAAGAAAGGTTTCTGAAAAGCCATCATTCACAGACTCTTTAGGTATATAAAGGCGGTTGCTTCCAAGCCACAGCCATTAATAATAATTGCTGGGAAAAAATAAGGTTAAAAATATATTTAAATGGCTCTGGGTTTTTGGTAAACTTCAGATACACAGACTTAAATCCACCCCTAATCCAGCCTCACCGAAACCCGTATTTTACAGATGTGCATGTATTCATGGCTGATGGCAGCAAGGAAATGCTGAGGTGCAGTATGAACATGGACATGCCTGACAGTCCAGACTGGCTCTCAGCTCAGGGAATTGCTCCATCAGCCCCAGTGCTGGAGTTTTCCGTTGTGGATTTCTAATCCCTTGTCTTAAACTTCAAAACAGACCAGGCAAAACAATTGATTGCAACAGTGCAGGTAGTTGGGTTTGGGTTTTTTCCCCCAACCCCCAGTAGATGAATAGAAAAATTCCACTACCTTGAAAGAACCGTTTAAAGGTTCAAAGCCAACAAAAAACACATCAGAGAATACCAGTGTGCTGCTCTAATTTGCTGCCCTGTCCACCCTGGGAGCAGAGCATGGTGCAGCAGCCGAAAGCACACTGTGTTCCCAGCTGTGCATGCACCTGGAGCTGAGCTTATTCTGCTTTCCAGCTTTTTGTTCGGTTTTGTACAAGTGACATCACACTGAGCCACATGGAAGACAATAATTCTGCTCCACGGCAACTTTTAGAACAAGTCTTTGTTCTGCATTCAAAAATATTACTTTTCTTTCCCCCTTATTCAGGCAGAACATGGGAAAATTGGCCCTCCTAAATCACTGGCAATGATGTAACCACCACGCTGGAAAGCGGCAGCCAACCTGCCTGCTCCGAGGAGCCGCGAGCAGAGTGCGCACACAGCTGAGCCAGCAGCGAGGGTCACTTGCTTTGGCAAACTGGGGGACAGTGATGGCCCAGGAATGGTTCACAGTCAGGAACTCACCATAGTTCCTCCACTCACTCTGCTGTGGGACGGAGCAGAGCCAGCAAGCCCTGGTCCCCAAGGAGAGGTATGAAACCTCCTGGTGAAAGCGCTGTTGAAACCACTAGCCTTTCAGTGCTGCAGTTGCAGTGTTGATATGTGTACTCATGAAGGGCCTTTTGCAACCTGCAAAATGTAATTTTTCTTTTTTTTTTTTCTCTAGAAAAAGAAAAAAAAAAATCAACCAACCAACCAACCAACCATTTAGTCATCTGGTTTGATTTGGGGACAGAAAATCCAAATGCATGCCCATCTGGAGAGCTGAGTTCACACTGGGATGGGCATCCAAGCTCTTTTCTCCTGCTAACCTGCC